ACACCCAAGGCTACCTGAATTCAATTTAGGTTTGATTAATCATGCTTGTCGCCAGGCTATAAATTGGCCGAATCCTTTATTTCATCTCCAAACCAAACAACTCTTCAAAAAGTCATTTAGTACAAGAACATATCTGAGATTGGTCAAAAATTATGTTAAAAAAACACAGAAATACAGATTCAGTTTTAGAGCAAGCATTGTTTGTGGAGGAATGGCCAAAATGACCACATTCTCAAAACTGATTTTTCTGACTCCCATATAGTAATTCTCAAAGTGATATTCCTAGAAAAGAGTTTTTTTTTTTTACATTATCCTTACAACGGTAGGGCAACCTGCCAAACATTTTCTGGAATCTGTAAAGTTTTAGGCTGTGTGAGGACATGCCTGAAAATAACAGTGGGGATTTTGGCTACATACAAAGCTGGAGGACTAAAAGCTGTCTCTTTCTTGTCACTACTCCATCTGTATGCTTCAGAGGAAGCTATTAACTTTACTGCAGTATTTCTTCACTGTTAGGTAGCTGCAGAATTATCATTCTCAATATGTGGCTGGACCATTTTTAAAGGATTGGTGAATGTTGAGGAAAAAGGATTAGAGTGATATTCTACTGCCACTCAGAAAGGTAGGGGAACCACCACAGAGTAACTTCCATTTCTCTCTGTTAAAGAAGAAGATCCTACAGGCCAGTGGTTCTCAACCTGTGGCTCCCCAGGTGTTTTGGCCTACAACTCCCAGAAATCCCAGCCAGTTCACCAGCTGTTAGGATTTCTGGGAGTTGAAGGTCAAAACATCTGGGGACCCACAGGTTGAGATGACCTTAGAGATGCAGCAAGTGCAATTTCACATCTGCCTCAGCATATACTCCAGCAAAGGATCACCGCCTTGTCGGGGCGCTGGAGCTTGAGCACCTCAATGATGCCATGAGCGAAACCGTGAAGGGCCACCCAAGACGGGACGGTTGTGGCAGAGAGGTCAGACCAAGCGTGATCCCTGGGGAAGGCAATGGCAAACCACTCCAGTATCCTTGCCAAGAAAACTAAATGGACCAGTACAACCAGAGATATGTCGGTATGCCATTGGAAGATGGGACTCCCAGGTCGGAAGATGGCCAAAATGCTACTGGGGAGGAGCAGAGGATAAATTCAACTAGCCCCAGATGTGATGACGCAGCTAGCTCAAAGCCGAAAGGAAGGCTAGCGGCCGACGGTACTGGAGGTGAACGACGAATCCGATGCTCTAAAGATCAACACACCATAGGAACCTGGAATGTAAGATCTATGAGCCAGGGCAAACTGGATGTTATTGGCGAGATGTTTGGTGAGATGTCAAGACCAAAGATAGACATTCTGGGGGTCAGCGAACTGAAATGGACTGGAATGGGCCACTTCACATCAGATGACCACCAGATCTACTACTGCGGACAAGAGGAACATTGAAGAAATGGAGTAGCCTTCATAATTAATAAGAAATTCGCTAAAGCAGTGCTTGGATACAACCCAAAAAATGACAGAATGATCTCAATTTGAGTGCAAGGAAAGCCTTTCAACATTACAGTGATCCAAATATATGCCCCAACCACAGCTGCTGAAGAAGCAGAAGTAGATCAGTTCTATGAGGATCTGCAGGACCTACTGGATAATACACCAAAAAGAGACATTATTTTCATTACAGGAGACTGGAATGCCAAGGTGGGAAGTCAAATGACAACTGGGATCACAGGCAAGCATGGTCTGGGAGAACAAAATGAAGCGGGACGCAGGCTGATAGAATTTTGCCAGGAAAACTCGCTGTGTATAACGAATACTCTCTTCCAACAACCTAAAAGACGGCTTTACACATGGACCTCACCAGACGGTCAACACCGAAATCAGATTGATTACATCCTTTGCAGCCAAAGGTGGCGGACATCCATCCAGTCGGTGAAAACAAGACCTGGGGCTGACTGTAGCTCAGATCACGAACTTCTTATTGCCCAATTTAGAATAAAACTAAAGAGATCAGGGAAAATACACAGACCAGTTAGATATGATCTCACTAACATTCCTAGCAAATATACAGTGGAAGTGAAGAACAGATTTGAAGGACTAGATTTAGTAAACAGAGTCCCAGAAGAACTATGGACAGAAGTCCGAGACATTGTTCAGGAGGCGGCAACAAAGTACGTCCCAAAGAAAAAGAAAACCAAGAAGGCAAAATGGTTGTCTGCTGAGACACTGGAAGTAGCCCAAGAAAGGAGGAAAGCAAAAGTAAACAGTGATAGGGGGAGATATGCCAAATTAAATGTACAATTCTAGAGAAGAAATAAGGAACTATTTTTAAACAAGCAATGCATGGAAGTGGAAGAAGACAACAGAATAGGAAGGACAAGAGACCTCTTCCAGAAAATTAGAAATATTGGAGGTAAATTTCAGGCAAAATTTGGTATGATAAGAAACAAAGATGGCAGGGACCTAACAGAAGCTGAAGAGATCAAGAGAAGGTGGCGAGACTATACAGAAGATCTGTATAGGAAGGATAATAATATTGAGGATAGTTTTGACGGTGTGGTGAATGAATTAGAACCAGACATCCTGAGGAGTGAGGTTGAATGGGCCTTAAGAAGCATTGCTAACAACAAGGCAGCAGGAGATGACGGGATCCCAGCTGAACTGTTTAAAATCTTAAAAGATTATGCTGTCAAGGTGATGCATGCCATTTGCCAGCAAATATGGAAAACACAAGAATGGCCATCAGACTGGAAAAAATCAACTTATATCCCCATACCAAAAAAGGGAAATGCGAAAGACTGCTCAAACTTCCGTACAGTGGCCCTTATTTCTCATGCCAGTAAAGTAATGCTCAAGATCCTGCAAGGAAGACTCCAGCAATACATGGAGCGAGAGTTGCCAGATGTTCAAGCTGGGTTTAGAAAAGGCAGAGGAACGAGAGACCAAATTGCCAATATCCGCTGGATAATGGAGAAAGGCAGGGAGTTCAGAAAAACATCTACTTCTGCTTCATTGACTATTCTAAAGCCTTTGACTGTGTGGATCATAATAAACTGTGGCAAGTTCTTAGTGGGATGGGCATCCCAAGCCACCTTGTCTCTCTCCTGAGGAATCTGTACAAGGACCAAGTAGCAACAGTCAGAACTGACCACGGAACAACAGACTGGTTCAAGATTGGGAAAGGCGTACGGCAGGGTTGCTACTCTCCCCCAACCTATTCAACTTGTATGCAGAACACATCATGCGATGCAATGCAAGCTGGGGTGAAAATTGCTGGAAGAAACATTAACAACCTTAGATATGCAGATGACACCACTCTGATGGCCGAAAGCGAGGAGGAGCTGAGGAGCCTTCTAATCAAGGTGAAAGAAGAAAGTGCAAAAGCTGGGTTGCAGTTAAACATCAAAAAAACCAAGATTATGGCAACAAGAATGATTGACAACTGGGAAATAGAGGGAGAAAACGTGGAGGCCGTGACAGACTTTGTATTTCTAGGTGCAAAGATTACTGCAGATGCAGACTGTAGCCAGGAAATCAGAAGACGCTTACTTCTTGGGAGGAGAGCAATGTCCAGTCTCGATAAAATAGTAAAGAGTAGAGACATCAGACTGGCAACAAAGATCTGCCTAGTCAAAGCCATGGTCTTCCCTGTAGTCACCTACGGATGTGAGAGCTGGACCTTCGGGAAGGCTGAGCGAAGGAAGAGATGCTTTTGAACTGTGGTGTTGGAGGAAAGTTCTGAGAGTGCCTTGGACTGCGAGAAGATCCAACCAGTCCATCCTCAGGAAATAAAGCCCGACTGCTCACTGGAAGGAAAGATACTAGAGACAAAGTTGAAGTACTTTGGCCACATCATGAGGAGACAGGAAAGCCTAGAGAAGACAATTATGCTGGGGAAAGTGGAAGGCAAAAGGAAGAGGGGCCGACCAAGGGCAAGATGGATGGATGGCATCCTTGAAGTGACTGGACTGACCTTGAAGGAGCTGGGGGTGGTAACGGCCGACAGGGAGCTCTGGCGTGGGCTGGTCCATGAGGTCACGAAGAGTCGGAGACGACTGAACGAATGAACAACAACAACTCAGCATATATCCTTAGTTCGTTTCAATGCTTCTATAACAGAGTAGCACATTCTCATTCGTCTTCGACTACAAATCAAGACTTCAGTCAAAAGACTTAAGTCCTTCAAAAGTAGATTAAACCCTGCCATTTAGTTGCCTTTGAACATTTTGGATTTTTTAAACTATCAAAATAAAGGTTTTCTGTTGGATTTTAAAACATGAATGGAGTGAGTAGATGTAACCAAAACTTGACCTTCCATTACAGAGCGTATCAATGCCACTGAATAACTCAAGTACCCACTGAATTGCTTCATGTTAACAATACATTTTCAACTATATTCCACTAACCTCAAAAATTTTCTTTAGAAAACTCCAAAGTGAGATACCAAACAAATATCTGAACATTGTATTAATTCCTTCCAACTAGAAGAGAGATTAAGTTCAGATGATGAATGACAAAAAGAAGCAACAATAAAATATAGAACATATAAGTATAAAGGTCAGAATTTCTATTTTAAGTACAGGAGAAATGTTTATATGTTTTTCCAGCTATGGATCTGATACCAAGTTGAAACCAATTTATTGCAATGACTCTGGCTAAAAATTATGTATAATTTTCCATAATACATAATAATTACATATATTTTTGATCATTTTAACTGCCCTTATTAAGCAAGGATTTCTAGGAATTATTTCAACTTTTTTTGTTTTCAAATGTAGTCATAATAAAAGTGTCTGGTTTTACAAAATAATTTCAAATAAAACTATTAAAAGTGAATTCAGACTTTGCATTGGCACAATTTTAAGCAGATATAAAAAACACTAAAAAAATCATAGAACTTCAAAATGATGCAGTAAATTAAAATAACCAAAGTCGTACCATGATTAAAGACCCATTTCTAGATCAACAACAAAGAACACTATTGCGTACAAAACAAGAGAAAAGTTCTGCATCTGAGGTACAAACAATAATTTTATAGCACGGCTTTAATTATCTGACCTATAAATACAAGGTCAGGTCAAACCAGTTGTCATATAATTCAGTTTTCATATATCAAAGGCAAGCCAATAATCAGTCATGATCTGCCAAAATATTTACCTCACTAGTATCATCTACAGAAGCACTTGGCGATTTGTACAGAGGGTTTTTCTATGCACACTGAGCAAGTTTCAGTTAAAAAAGTGACTATATACAAATCTGTACACATAGCCAATAGAACATTTTCCAATTCACAGATTCGACTTAAAGCAGTTACCTTCAACATGGTGAGACCCAAGATCCACCTGAAACCCCAATCTGAAATACACAGCTTAATTTCTCCTCCCCCGGTTTTCCTTTTCTCAAAATATAAACCTAAAACAAAGAAAATTTTAGATTGGGACAGACCTCACTTTTGGATCCGGGTCCATTCGCTTGAAGGTCAGTGACAGAAAGCAATATACCTGAGATTTCACAATAGCTTTAGTTTCCTAACTGCAATCCTAAATATACATCTCAGAAATTTAAAAAGATACCTCCTTTGAATATGTGCATTACGGTGTTTGTTTGTTTTTAAAAAAAAACTATACAGAGCTGAAAAACAATGCCCGCGCTGCCTCTTCAGGATTGTCCATACACTGAATTTGCCCAACTGACCAACAGTCAATCAGGCGCCTCCAGGATCCCCAGGGAAGCAGACAACGCAGCAGAGGAAAGCTTCAGTGGGATGATGCGCTCCCTCTGGCCACTGAATACCTGGGCAGAAGGAGGAAAAGGAGAGAGTCTTATGCAAAAAGAGACACCAAAAGGTGAAAAGAAAAGGTGTTTTCAGTATTGGGGTTTAGCAGTTTAGTTGTACAAAGTACTTCGAGCAGAAGCGTTAAGGAGCTTTAAGGATAGCAAATTCTAAATATATTCCAAGGTCTTCTTGTCACATGTTCTTTTCCAGCAGTTTACTCCAAACAGGTATGTTAAGTTTTTAGATATATAAGAGTATCAAGGCCCCACCTAAATACCCTACAGATACCAGTTCCCAGGTGATCTTGGATGCTAAGCAGGGTTAGCCCTGGTTAGGACTTGGATTGGAGCTCAGCAATGAATAGCACATGACATAGTTATATTTCATATGAAGGAACTGGCAAAACTATCTGAGAACTCCTTGACTAAGAAAACCCTATGAATTTTATGGGGCCATCATAAGCTGACAAGTGACCTGAAGGCACATACATACACAGGTGCCCTATCGCAAGCTGACCATATGAAATGCTTACTATATATCTGTGATGAACCTTCCTGCTATCTGAGCACAGCTGTGTTCACTGAAAGCAAAACTTCCATTTCATAATTATCTCAAATTACTGTGAATTTTGACCTAAATACATGTAAACCTTTCTAACATATATCACAATCCTAATAGGGATGTGAGTCTAAGCCCAATTTTGCATTATTGAAAAAAAAAATGAGGATGTTCTATGTCCCAGAAAATGTACTGCTCTTGAATCTGTAGGGAAATAAATGATACGGATTCCACTAAATTATACAACCATTAAATCAGAATGACAAATATTTGCATATGTCAACTCAACTACCTTTCAAAAACCTGACCCCATGCCAAAAAGCAAAACCATAGTACACTCTGGTCCAATGTAGATACATGCTTTATTAAAGGAAGTCAATGTCTGTACTAATTTAGAATGCCAGTGTAGTGTCATGATGATAATTCCAGAGTAGGTTGTAAGAGATCCAGGCTCAAATGCCACAGAGTCATGTGTATCATCCCCTCTCACCTCTATCCTCACTAGTTGTGAGGATAAAGTGGGGAAGAACTGCTCAAGGACATCAGAGCAAAAGTGGTAAATAAATGTAATTAATAAAAATTGAGCAGAAATTCTGACATGTGTTTCTGTAATAAGATGTTCAGCAAATTGGTTCTGTTGATGGGATATCTTCCCATCAGTCTCAAGAGAAAAATTGCTAGGATTATGCAAGAGATTCTTTATTCACCCAATGAACAAAAAGGGGCTTACATTTTATCTCATATTACATTGCTAAAATACTGTCAGGTTTGAATGTAGGTTAAGTAGCCCTTATGAAGAAATCTGAAATGCTCCAAAATCCCAAACAGCCCGCATGGGTGGCTGAGATAGTGATACCTTTGCTTTCTAATGATTCAGTATACACAAACAAAACTATTTTTTAAAAAATATTGTGTAGTAAATTACCTTCAGACTATGTGTATAAGGTAGGTATGAAACAAAAATTAATTTCATGTTTAGAATGTGGTCCCATATGCAAATATTCCAAAATCTGACATTGGAAACATGCCTGTACGCAAGCATTTTGGATAACATATATTCCACGCCATTTGGGAAACCTCCTCTAAATTTCACGCTGTGTTCATACAGAACAGAAACTTGGGAATCCTGCTCAATAAAACATGCCAATTAATTGTATTATTAGTCCATTCAACCATTTGCTCCTCCCTTCATGTGAATAGGTTAGCAATCACAGTGAGAGATAGCTTTACATGACATTTGCATCTGGGGTTACACTTAAGTATGATCTCATCTCACTTTTCCCTTTGAGACAAATCCATTATTAAACAGCCTAAAGGCTGTCTTAAAAATCCTAGCTTCTTTTAAGCACACTTTCCCATAATCCCAGAAGCAGATGTCCTGCTGTCCTGATCTACCTGTCACTCTAATAGGCTACCAGCACCAGTAAAAGCTTGTTTCCATTGTGATTTATTAAAAGTGCCTACCACTTTAATTTGAATAAACACTTTGAAACATCCTAGTTTGCATACTTGCTACCTAACTTAAATAATTTCAGAGTAAATTTGCTTGAGACTGCCCAACAATCAGCAAGAAGGAGAATTCAATTTTAATATTCTTCTATTTATGCAAGTTGCAAGGCCACTGACACATAACTATGGAGCTTTTGTCTCAAATTATTCCCTGCTATACAGGCCCATAGCCAGGATTTTGTTTTTGTTTTTTTTGGGGGGGGGGGGGCTGAGTTTGGTTGGGGGGGGGACGACTGAGTTTGAGTGAAAGAGGGTCTACCCTAGCAAACCTTTTGTATCGTTACCACAATACCCCCATGCACATGGGATATATTGAGCAGGGTGATCAGATCATGATATGAATAAACATAACAGTTTAAATAATGTATCAGTAAGGCCTTCTCGCGGACCACCATGAGAATTTCGCCTGCTGCTATACAAATAGACTGTTGCAATGTGTCTCTTATCCTTTTAGGTTATTTTCCTGAGAAAAATGTTCTATCAAACCATTATAGAGAAACATATGGTACTCAAAGTTATGTCAACCAGCACACACACATGCAGTAATTTCCCATGCATTTACTGCATCTACACCATCATCATCCTGCTTTTTCTCTTCCAGAAAAGATTCAGAGCCGCAAAAGATATTTCCCCTCACCTCTGAAGTCTTTCCACAAGCTCTGTCACCATCGTGTCTGAAATTCCTGGACATGCTTCTTCAGATAAATAAATGGCTTCTCTCAGTTCCTCTATGGATCCCACGTTCCCTCCACATGCTTGGCTTCTCTCTTTCAGCTAAAAATCAGAAGAACATTGGGGATACAACTCAAAATATTTATGTGTTCTAATATTTTCAAAAGCAAACCAAGTACACAGCTTCAAATATAAAAGACTGTGCTGATGTACAGAACAAATGTTAAAATGTTCTCTAATTAGATTGTTATGTAGCAAGTAAACCCAACTAAGAAAAAATATGAGTCCCTGGTAGAATCTTAGGCAGGAGAAGGAGTCACACTCACAAAATGTTTAGAAAACATAGTGGTTTAATAGTCCTGTGTATACTACACAAGCATGTGTAACAAGGTCATTTATTTTAGTTTCAACATAACATCCTGCCCCCATCTCACTTTTCTGTGTGCTACAAATCAGTTTTAAAAGTTTCTGTGCCAACACTGGCTGCCCCCTATGCCCCCCCCAAAAAAGAACTACATGAACAAATTTAATGTTTTTGTCCGATTAAGGCAAATTTGTAAGTGGTTTGGGTGCTGTGAATGCTTCAAAACCCTCAAATGGCCAGGGACCCACTTGCTTCAGCATCTTTCCCAACTGTTTCATTGATCTCCTGAATTTCCGCTATCATTGACTGTACTTTGTTGTCTATTGCTTAGTCATTTAATTTATAATGCCTGCCTTCTTTGAATGGACAGCCCTGTTTCTGAAATTACTCCTGAAACACCACCCTGAACTCTTAGTCTTGTGTCTAGTGAGTTATCCGGCATTTGCATGACCCTTAGAACCCCGCAGACATTTGAAAAATTCAAGGAAATATGCAGTGAAATCTGGCCTTGTTATAGCAGTTTTCCACTTCATGGCTAAGACTCAGCAGATTTTAAAAAGTTACACAATGAAATAAAAACTGCACAAATAAATGGCCAATGATTATCTCCCACTCTATGAACCCTTTAAAAAACTACAACCCTCTGGGGAGGGCCTCTTAGTTCCACCATGTTCCTCTGAAGCACATTTGGTGGGAACATGGGTCTTTTTGGTGGTTGCTCCCAGATTATCCCCCAGGAGAGATCAGGATGGTCCTATCCATGTTTGCTTTTTGCAGGCAAGCTCTGCTGCTAGACATTTTGAGGGGAATAAGGGGCTTGCTGCTGGGGAGGTGAGAGTTGGAAAGGATATTTAGTTTAATTTCATGAGTATTTTTTATTGCAATTGTATTTTAGCCTATATCCATGACACAAATATTGTTTTTAATTTTTGTATTTGCCATGTTTTAAAATGTATTGGGTTGTGTTGTGTTATTGTAACCTTAAGTCCTCATTGGGAGAAAGGCAGGGTAGAAATAAATATGATTAATAATAATAATAATAATAATAATAATAATAATAATAATAAAAACAACAACAACCATACCCACAAAGTGTGATCTCCTTATCTGTGGAGAATATGTTCCAAGACAACCGCCACCACCATCACCCCCCACCCCTCAGGGATACCTGAAACTGCTAACAGCAGTGAGTGCTATCCTTCTATCTGCGGTCCTCTCTAGGTCTTCCTGAATGCATATAGAATTTTACAGAATGCTTGGTCCAGAAGAACACTACAGAAGTGCATCTGACGACCCTCAGAGGCCCACAAACACTTCCAGAGAATATTTGTTCAAGCGTGGGTAAGCAAAACCATGGAGATAGACTTTGTTGATAAAAGGATAGCTGCACTTACATGCCACTGATCCTATTCGCTCATTCCCTATAGCTCCTTAATAGGGAAATACCGTAACAGTTGCCATTCCTCAGACTTTGGTTTTCCCTTTGACTTATTAAGAGATGGAAGAAGGCTGCCTGGTTGTTTTTTTTCTCTGGTTGACTACAACAGCTGCCCTCCCATCACTCATCTCAGGGAGACTTACACCCAAGATGAATGTGACAGAATGCAAAAGAACAGACACAGGCATTGTAACACAATGCATTACCCAAACTGGACTGTCTTGGTGAAAATTCTACATCAACAATGAGAAATAATTCAAAGTGAATTTACCTCTGTAAATAATGGTGATATAATCGTAGATAAGCACCGAGACAAAGGCCGCCTTTGAATGGTATTTTCCTTGAAGAAAACAGGTAAATTCTACAAGTTAACTTTCCAGAAATTGCAATTATTGTTCAACATACCTAATTTTATTCAAAACACTTCCAAAGGCAAACATATGCAGTAATGTGACTTTGAAATTAACATTGCAAACTAGAATTAGGATTCTGGGAAGCTGGTGTGCTTGCATACATCATACACCAAATTATAATTAGATAAACAAGAAGAAAATGCAGACATTCCCAACACTGAATCTATTGCAAACAAATGAGCCTGCAGCAAAATACATTTTAGAATTCTGAATACATTGCTTACATATTTATCAAATGCAATTCAATTCAATTAAGCATATCTGATGGAACTTCAGGAAGTAGTCAACCTGCAAAGCAAGGAAAGTAATAACAAGAACACCTGTATATGTACGCCGTAGAAAAAATAAACCAGTATTCAGCAAGTTTGCCAATGCAGGACTGTCTATATATGTACCAATACAGGGATATGCATCACTATTTCTCCAGTACCAGTTGCACTGGTGAAATCAAGTAGCAGATTCAGGGAGAAACAGGGAGATTCAGAGGAAGGCAAAACAAAACAAAAACAAAACAAAACAAACAATCCTTCTGAACAAATCTTACAAAAAAAACATGTTAGGTTTGCCTTAGGGTTGCCGTAAGTCAGAAATGGCTTGAAGGGACACAACAAGTAAAAACATAATGGACAAGAGCTGTTTCTACTATTTAGAGAAAATGCTATTTCACAGCTATTAACACGTATATTGCACTCTGCATTTCACTACTTGTGTTGCTGGTGAAATGGTACAATATATTTCGAAGAAGTTTGCACAGGCAATGGTTAACAAGGTGGCACAAGAGTTGGCCATCTCAATGTTCAATGTGTCTAGAAATATTAAGTCTTTACATTTCAAAACATACTTCAAATTTAGCAGCAGTAGGTGGGATCTGAGAATTGCACATCATTGGAAGGGTGACTCCAAATTTCTATGATATTTTTGTAAAATGTTTCAGTGGAATTTTTCCCCAATTAAAATATCCCCATAGTTAGCTACAACTGCAAAAACATTTTTCTCAAGCCCAGCCTCCATGGACTATATCAAGAGATTCTATGCTGATTTACTTGAACCATCTAATGAATTAGTGACACTTCAAATCACAGGGTTTTGTCTCCTCAAGATACAAGCATGCACTGTTTTCATTGTTGCATTTTAATAGTTGCTGATTTTGTGGTATTTTAGCTGCAATATTATGGGAAAGAGGTCCATGGAGGTGGCACTATGAGTTACTCGACCAAATACCACCCACTCCAGTGATGTTTGGAAATCAAAACAGTAAAGTACACATTTCTATATAAATGTCTGTAATATAAAATATACCTTGTTTCTTTCCCACTCATGCAGTTGGGTAGCTCCATTCTCTAGATTCTTGGGATCTTTCTCTCGGATTGTAAATATCCAATCCCCTGAATCACTGCCTCCTGAGGCTTGTCCATCCGTTTCACTTCAATGCAAACACATTTATGAAACATTTTCACTCGTTTTATTTATGGGTAGCAATAACACAAACCTGGCAAGTTCCTGTGTGGGTAGTTTAAAGCAATGCCGCTAGAGGAAAATTCAAAATTTTAATAGCCTTCTGAGAGCAATCTTCTTTAGCAAAGATTACGGGCTCTGGGTTGTTGTAGGTTTTTTCGGACTATATGGCTATGTTCTAGAGGCATTCTCTCCTGATGATCTTCTGCATCTCTAGCAAGCATCCTCAGAGGTTGTGACCTTTGACATTACAGGCTCTTGTAATAGCCCAGTTCTAGTCTGATACATCTTGAAAATAGAACAGATTAAATCTGTAAAATTTGGCAAGCCTGCTGAACTTCAGTTTAATCAGAATCACTTATTTGTTTTTTAAATAATGTGTATTTTCTGTTTGTTCAAGATATCTGTTATTTGTGAATAGAAGAAAACATTTGGACCCAAACCAATCTAGAAAGAGCATGTCAACTGCTGAAAAGGATCTCAAAGAGGGAACATACAAGCCTCTGTACATGTGGACTTTTGGTGTTATCCCATTACTAAACGTTTCTCCACTATAATAGGGTAGCAGGGAATTCATATATAATTCCTCTCATTTTATTCCCTACCTTCCCACTAAAAAGTAAATATGACTCAGAAGTGGGATTGTACTTCTGGAATGAGCAAATATGACAATATTGCTGCTGGACATGTAAAGCCCCTATCTGATAAGAAACACTGGTCAAGGTACATTTTGGAGCCCCAAATGTTAGTCTCGTATGTGGGTATATTTGACCTGCTGATTCCAGAAATTGCACCAGTTTCCGCCTCTCAGCTCTAGTTTTTGAGATACAGGACATATGCCATCTGCTCACCCATAAAAAACCATAATAACCATATCTAGAATAGATGCAGTCTATTCAATGCAATTTTCTGAATCAGTGCCCCAAATAATCCCAGGAACAGGCCTAAAAAACAAGACACCTACAATACTATTTTATTTTTTTAGTTGGGCTGTGAAATCAAAGTTTAAGTGGCCCTTAGCAGATCTACCCACTCCTTAAGCTGTATGACCTGCCTTTCCAAGTATTTGCCAGTGGAGTAAGGCATCCTTGCCCTGAACATGATAATATATATGATAGGCAACAACCTAATTTTTATCACACTCTTCTCTCCATATGTTCCTTTCAAATAAGGGAATGAAGAAAAGAAGTACAGTATCTATTTTGTTTTAATTTTTTTGTCAAATTCAACCACTTGTCTGTTTCTAACTAACTTAGAGCATCATAGCTCCCAAGTTTAGGGAAAACCCATCTTTTTGAGAAAAGAAACTGTTCCTGGTTACCCAAATCAGGTGGACATCCCACATGACCCCTCAACCACTCCTGACAACTGGATCATGCAAAATGGTAACAAAACTGTCAAATTTCAGCAACTAGCAATCCTATATAAAGAAAGCACTGCACAAACTTTCCATTATTCACAGATTTGCTGCTAAACTTCAGAGGCAAACTGCTATAACCCATTTGAAGCAAGCAAAATATCGTAAACAGCTTGCTACTGAATTTCAGCAGTGTGCCAAAGTTCATAATACAACACTATATTTCAGGACCTTTATCTGAAAAAGACTTTGAAACTGCTCATTCCATCTGATGTCTTCCCTCTCCCCATGACTATAAATAAAGATGGCACCATGCTTTCATGCTTACCCATCTGAATCTTCAGAACTTGAGTTATCATGGTTCTGATCAGCCTTCCATCTTTTATGCCTGTCAATCAGATCTGTCAAGTAAGAGGTTTTCTTTGCATTTCGTACAATAAATTTGTGCTTCAGGAGTTCTTTTGCTGTTGGTCTCTTAAAAATGAAGAAAAGGTTCCTTTACAAAAAGCATTTCAGCTACCAAGTGAACAAAAATATACATTTAGTGAATTAGATAAAATGACTACTTGAAGCTAACAAAAGCTTACTGATGCTATACTCCATTTCAACAGTGTAATGCAGCAACTTAAAAAGCCAATGTGGTTCTAGGCTGCGTCAATAGAGTACAATGTCTAGAATATATTGAGGGAAGTCATAGTCCCATTTTATTCTGCTTTAGTCAGACCTCATATGTGTGCAGTTCTGGGCACCAAAATTCAAGAAGAATACGGACAACCTGGAACATTTCCAAATGAGGGCAACCACAAAAGTTAAAGGTCTGGAAGTCAAGCCTACGAAGAATGGCTTTGGGAGCTAGGGTTGTTTTTCTCGGAGAAAGAAGGATGAGAGGGAACATTGAGAAGGGGGCAGACTTGTTTTCTGGTGCTCTAAAGACCAGGAACTGGAGCAATGGATTCATAAGTCACGAAAAGAGATTCCATCGAAACATTGGTCACATGCAAAGCAAAGAAAAGCTAGGACTGAAACAAGCTCCAATCTAAATCTATTCAATTAGTATAGTCAATGGTAAGTCAACACAAAAGTCTAAGTACCCTAAGGAAGTTAAGTGGGGTCAGCTCTGAATAGTACCTGGATGAGAAAATGCTCAAAAAATGCAGGTACTGTCAGCTAAATTTCAGAGGAAGGGACTGAAAACATTGAATATTCCTTGGTTAAGAACCCTTAAAATTTGTGGGATTACTATAAGTAAACATATGACTTGAAGGCACATATGTAAACACAGATCAACACATAAATTTCACTTAATCCAAGCTGGGATTAACAACTAGATTTAGTTCTGGAAATACATAAAGTTTTTTTAAAGTTATAAATGTTTTATAAGTAGCTTGCTGTAAGTTTTCCGGGCTGTATGGTCATGTTCCAGAAGCATTCTCTCCTGACATGTCAACTGCATCTATGGCAGGCATCCTCAGAGTTTGTGAAGTGTGTAAGTAATTAAACAACCCCCCCCCCCCCCGGTTGATTCCCAGCCAGCACAGCGAAACAATTCTAAAGAAGAAGTAACAACATGTCATAAATATCCCACGCAACCTAGACAAACCATGACTAGAAGCAAGGCACAAATTTAAATAAGTTAGAAATACTATTAAAGGGACATGGGTACACTCATTAGTTTAGTCAAAATGGCTTTGCTTGTGCCATAATCCTTTGCTTTAATAACAAACATGAAAATAATCTTATTTTGACATTTATCTGAGAGACTGAGAATATAGTTTCTTTTAATATACACTTGACATAAGAACATCAAAGTTTTGCGATAAAGCTCCCCAAAAATAAGGATGTGATGAGAAGGAAACATTTGTTTTCAACATGTTTCAATTTCTACTAACGTTCTATGCAATACAACAGATTGCCCAAATGCATCAAATAGTTCAGTCTACAATCATCTCACACTGCCAAGCTAAGCAAAATGCCCTAAAACAATCACAGATAGATACTGGAAAAACAACTTACAAAGCTTGGATCCTTGTTCAAGCAGGCCTCGACAAACTCCTTTAGGGGTTTACTGTAGTTTCCTTCTAATGTTGGTGGATTGTTCTTTGGAATGAGAAATAAAACTTTCATTGGATGCAGTTCTGAGTGCGGCGGCTCACCTTTTGCCAGTTCTATAGCTGTTATACCCAGTGACCAAATATCTGCCTGTAACACACAAGGAATCATACAACAGTACATCAGTCTTTCATGAGTCCCAAATGATAACTTTCCTTTGCTGCATTGATTGTTTATTTCCTTACAGGTTTTTTTCCCACGCAACAAAGACAACAAAATATTAAGTTCATCCTGAAACTTAATATTTTGCCGGCAAAGTGGGTTAGACCCCTGTGCCGGCAGGACTGAGGACCGACAGGTCACAGGTTCAAATCCGGGGAGAGCACGGATGAGTTCCCTCTATCAGCTCCAGCTCCTCATGCGGGGACATGAGAGAAGCCTCCCACAAGGATGATAAAACATCAAAAACATCCGGGCATCACCTGGGCAACGTCCTTGCAGACAGCCAATTCTCTCACACCAGAAGCGACTTGCAGTTTCTCAAGTCACTCCTGACACGACCAAAAAATCCTGAAAATTGTACCTCAAATGTTATGCCCCAAACATTACTCTTACCTTTGAATCATAAGCAGATTGCTTTATAACTTCTGGTGCCATCCAAAATGGTGTTCCCACAAAGGTGTTCCTCTTTATTTGTGTATCGGTTAATTGTCCAGCTACACCAAAGTCTGCTAGTTTGACTTCGCCTTGTTCAGAGAGCAGCACATTTGCAGCTAGAAAACATTTTTGAAAAATATAATTCACTGTTTGCTCACTTTATCCTGAAGCATCTCAAAAAACTAGTAAAGACCATCCAGTTTTACCTTTAATATCTCTATGAATTTTCTTTTCTGAATGCAAATAATCAAGTCCTTTGAGAATTTCTCTTAATATTGTAGCAATCTGGATTTCATCAAGTGAGCCTGGTTCTAACTAGAAGAAACACAACAGATTATTTTCAGAATAAAATGATATTGTAATGAAAAAAATTAATCCAGCAATTTAATATTTTGTTTTACTTTTATTTACAGTTTATCTAAACTATAGCTTCACAAAAAACTATATTTATAGTTTATCTAAGGTTTAGAAATCTGTATGATTCAGAAAGTTTACTCATTTGATGCATTAAACTGCCATACAGAAAAGAGCAAAAAACTAGTCAGCCCTCCAGATTTGTGGACTCGACTTTAGAGAAGTTTACTATTCACAGATTTGATTAAAATGTTCTTTCTAGGAATCTCTAGAACCTGCAGTGCAACTCTATAATCAACTTCTGTTGTAAAGTGATCACAGAGGGATTCCTAGAGAGAAAATCTCTCTAGGAATCTGTACACCTTCCAATGTGATATGATAAAAGTGATCAAAGAGAAATGCTGGAGAAACTAGAAAGGGTTTCTTTCAGGAAAAATTTACCAATTTTACTTTTTGCAGTTTTTCACTTTTGCATAGATCTTATGCCCCTAATCCCAGCAAATGAGGGCATACTACAAATAAACAACTCCACAGAAATTGTAAAAAATATATATGTAATTTTAAGTCGGGGTGCTGTTATTCCTGTAGACATGATGCATAAGCAATAATAGCAAATTCAAATGAAATAAGAATAGGTCTGTTAGTTACATGAATGAAAGTTGATTACTTACAAGGTCAAGAGCGGAGCCTCCACCAAGATATTCCATTATGATCCATAATTTGGTATCCTGTTAATATAGACAAATGTCCATTTCAATATAACTAGAGATTATAATACTCAAACAACTTTTCTCAACCTCTGTATGTTTCATCTTAGGTTTTCATCTAATCACATACACAAAACCTAAGACTGAAAAAAGCAATGTGAACAAGGTGGACATAAAGTAATACTATAAATGAGGGACATAATAAATACAAAAGATGTTTATTTTGTAACCCTGTTTCAGTGTACGTGACATTTACAAGTGAGACCATTTTTGCTACAAGCTCAATGTGCCACTTAATAATTGTCAAAGTCTCAGTTTGGTTGGTTACATTCCTGAGAGAGCTGGTCTGCTACTCAGACAGATGATGTCAAAGAAAAGCTTCATTGTCTCATCTCTGTTCTTTCCCAACACTCATTACTGCTTCTTTTGTACATTCAGAGTAAGACACACCTTTTCATGCAAAATACAAAAAATACAAGACACAAGAAACAGTGATATCTTTATTAAGCCAACTAAAATGCACAAAATAGATTATACAAGCTATCAAATCTTTATCAATCAAAAATCAAACAGAAGCAAAAGAATTGTGATGTTGGAGTTACAGGCTTCTATTTTGTTGCAGGTATATATTTTGCCTAAGATGTTACTTCTACTGTCAGTAAAGACGATCTCAGTGAATATTAATGCAGGAATAGGTCTTCCCCTCCTTCTTGGCCATGTGGGGACTGGGAACAAAGGGCAGTAAAAAAAACAGTGATAAAATGTCAAATTCATAAGGAAGAGCAAACTAACTTTCATTAAGATCCAGGGAAACTCTATCCTGAGCGAGGTTAACTGCCCCTTTCTTACACCAATTAGAGCAATCCTGTCCCAATAAAGATATCACTGTTTTGTAGATTTTGGATTCTGTTATGTTTTGCTGCATGGCCAACACAGCCGCCCCCCAAAATGTTTCGTGGATTTGAAGATACTATTTTGTGCATTTCTCTCCATAGAGAATGATCCTATGACTTCTGATTGCTCTTTGTTCTCCTCTGCTAATATTGGAAAGTGATAAGAGATATCATCCACAGCTGTGATGAGGTTCAGATTTGAAGTGTAACATAATTATAAAACAGATCCATACCCAACCCTCCATCTCCACCACAACGCTAGCTGTTCATACCGAAAGTGGCAAAGGTTCGCTCTTTCCTGATGTTCAAGTCAAATTGGAATAAGGCAACAGTGAGGTGGATGAGCCATCAGAAGGTAAAATTGGTAAGTCTGCAGAAATAATGCCCCGGAATATGCACTTACTACACAAAGCTCTAGTAGGATTAGAGATGGTCATTCAGCTGTCATGATGCTCAGAAACCAATGCAATAAAATGGTGTCCCTTATATAAAAATAGTAAAATTAAAGTTTGCTTAATTTTTTGTTTGTAATATTTTAAACCATGGATAATTGAATCTGTGAATGCAGAGGGCCAACTGTAGTACTTCAAGTCTAAGGCAAATCTAAGCACTACCAAATGAAAACCATATTGATTTATGAAGACAATTGATACTACTGGCAGAACGATGGAAAATAGCATGCCTGGAATGAGGATGGAACTCCAAACAGTCCTTGGCAATTAATGAGCTGGCATTAGGCTGCATTTAACATACAGCCAAGTCAGTGCAAAATAGTGGTTTGCATGCTGGGTTCCAGGAGATCAAAGTCTGAATTCCTATTAAACCATGGAAATCTACTGGGTGACCTTGGGGAAGTCATACACTTTAAGCCTCAGAAGAAGGCATTAGCAAATCTTGCTACACAAATCTTGCTGAGAAAACCCCATGGTATGTTCACATTAAGTTGGGAACCATTTGAAGACACACAACGACAATCAAAATTCACTGCCAACAAGTTCTTCTTTAGTATGAAAAAAATCCACAGATTTAACAATTTCTTAGCTCCACGACCAGAAATCTTGTAAACTCAATAGCTAAAATTCATACACACACAGAACATGCCCAGCAACATTTTCCTTTTCAAACTACCCATTCTCCACAATCTCAATCTGCATCCTAACTCCCCCAAAAGCTACAAAGCTATTCATTTTTTAAAAAGAGAAAGAAATGGGAACTGTGGTCACTACACGAACTGTTTTATTTATCTAAATTTGTTTTCATGTCCAAAATATGTGCTTTACCTGCTTCCAAATAAACTGGTGCTCATTTAAATGAAACTATTGGAAAAATACTTTTTTATAGTTTATTCCTCTGACAATTTGAATAAATACACATTAAAGTTTTAGTGTGCTCATCATTTATTTAAACTCTGTAGGGGAGATCATATGACTTCTATCAAATGAAATAAGTTTTATTTGGAATGGGTTAAAAGGACATGGATTTTGTTTGAAAAAGAAAAACCTGAGAGGATTATGCAACAGTGATATTTTAAAACATGAGTTGCTAACAAAGGCTGGGGAATTGCACACAGGTTCGTAGCCGGTGGGGGGTTGTGTTAAAAGTGTCAGGTTAAAAAAGTGTCAGGTTAAAAAAGAAACCTGGTTTACTCATAAATTGGTTAACCAGTTAAAGTTCATGAGTAAACCAGGTTTCGGGTGCGGGGTTAGAACCCATAACACCCAACACCCCCCGCTACGACCCTGATTGCACATACCTCTTACTGAACTTCTGAGGGCTGAATGTGTATGCAAACTGACAGCTAGCAATCCCCTGAAATGTTTTTAAGTTTTGTTACAAAATCAAAACAAAAACAATTTTTCCTGGCAGACTGTAGGAGAAATGGGACCATCTGAGATGCTTCAAACCCAAAAAAAGTCTTTTTAAAGAAGACGTAAATTGGACAGGTGTCCTATCCAAATTATAGTTAAAAATTAAATATCTTGCAATTGAATGTCTCATGTACAGGTATTACCATTTGAGACTTCCTGAGAAAGCATTTTCAATCCACCTGGATCTCTCTAGTCAGCAGTGAGGATAAGGATAATGAAGAAAACTGGGTAGGGAATCAGATTTCATAATGCTAGAGAGAACCATAGCTCTCTTCTGTGTCTTTACGAACTACTGACTATGGAGATCTGGAAGGGCATCCCTTTTTTAAAAAAAGGTATAGTATTCCACACTATTGTGGCATAAATCCCCTCTACTCACCCTCCCATTAATCAAAACCAGAGAATCGCATATCCTTAAATGGGTGTGTGTGTTTTGTTTGGTTTTGCCACAATGTAGCCTGGAATTTAAAAACCCAAGAGATGAGTCCTAACAAAGAATCTTAATTTTTGTTTCACATCAAAGTGCCAAAACAGTTTAAAACATTAAAAGGTTTTTCACTTCTTTTCTTTTTAGTGACTGGATTAATCTTGCCAATAATAGCACAGTAACTTCAATATTAAAAGCCTTGAGATGTGAAGAGTCAATTTCAGGGATTATTGGGCTAAAACCATTTTCTCCAAAAAGAACCCCAAAGAATCTCAGAAAACAGAAATGTTGTGCCAAAGCTCACTCTCAAGGCAGGATGCTGAACTGATAAGGAAATCTCATCGGAAAGTGTTTCTGAAGCCTCTTTTGAAGCCTCTGGTATCATGATAAATGCCGGCTGCCTTGGGAGGAAAGGTACAAAGGAGCTCAAACGTTACTATCAAAGACAAGATTCTGATTTTGCACATAGCACTTCTGTCCTTTTCATTAACGTTTTCCATTCATCCTATATGTTTAGCGATGGGGGAGAATACATACTTTAACAAGCAACACAGAATATACTCCAGAAACAAAGTGATTGCACTCAAGGAGTGATTTTAACTTAGAGGTGTAAAATAGAATACAAATTCATGGAACACAAAATGAAAACAATGTCTAACTCAGTGGTTCTCAACCTATGGGTCCCCAGGTGCTTTTGCCTACAATTCCCAGAAATCCCAGCCAGTTTAGCAGCTGTTAGGATTTCTGGGACTTGAAGGCTAAAACATCTGGGGACCCACAGGTTGGGAACCAGTGAATATTCATAAATTGTGGCTAAAGTGTGAAGCCAATGACTCAGTAAATGTTATCTGTATTTTGTTACACACACTCCAGACTATTAGAAAATTTTTAAGAGCCATTTTTACAACTGTTTTTTTATCTACTTCAGAGGAAAATCTAAACATACATTATGCTATGGAATGATCTTTTACAAATGTGTATTCAGTCATTTTGTAAATCTTAAATGATAAAAGCTGTTAAAAATGGTTACCAGTACAGGGACCTCTACCTAGAGACAGTCAGTCGAATCTTAGTTTCTGAGGCAGAACATTCAAACCAAGAACCTCCAAAATATAGTAAGATTGATGAGTTGCTGTCTATTTCTTAAAAAGTGCAGCTCTGGAGCAGGCTTTCTATCCATGCCTCTTATTTTTTATACTTCCAAGTTCTCACACTAACAACTTGATTTTCTTATGTGGGTCACAGAATTCATCTCTTTTCACAAATAGAATTTTCTTGGTGCAGTTTCTTCTCCTCTCTGGGTGGAACAGACATCATCTTCCAAATTCTTTCAGTTCCTTCCAAAAGTTCCAAATAATTGTTATCAAACAACATGATTGAAAAGATAAGACTAATCAGGGACAATTGTGAGAAAGTAGTCTAAAGGCTGAAAACTCAGTAAAAGACACCCTCAAATGTCTGAAGTCTTGACAGGTGCAGGAAAAGTAAGATCCTACTCTTACTATGAGATCCTTACCCTGGGAAGAATATTCTGACAAATAATAAAAGATTCTTTTAAGAAATTACTTCTTCTGGACCTCTACCAAATATATAGCAAGGGGCTATTTAAAGAGCAAAATAGATTCATTTGATGGAAACATATCTATATAGCTAAGCAGCACAATAATCCATTCACATGTCTTCCTTCCTCCTCCTCTTCTTTGTACATCCCAAAGAAAACACTACTATCTCCATGCAACCCTTTCCCTTGCAATTCAGTCATTCCTGTAGTTTCTTTTTCTGCTACAAAAATTGGATTATCTCTCCTGTAAACCTCTTAATAAGGTGTTATAT